GGATGGGAACAGCGCTAGGGAATTGGGGGAAGGGGAACAGAGAAGTTGCTGTCCTTTAGTTCTTCAGTCTAGTTGTGGAGAACGTTGCTTCACTGGCCCAAGTTGGCACCATCATTGCACTCTTCCCGGGCGAGGCAGATCAGTCGCCGGCTTCTGGNCGCTGGCTATTGGCTACACACAGTAGCCCATGGCAACCCACTGCAGCAGGGGTTGCAGCCTATGCCGTCGCCGGCGACTCATGGCAGCCCAGCTCCAGGTTGAGCTCTTGTTCAGCATCTTATCTGTAGAGGGCAGTGTCACTGGCCCTCATATGTGGGATCCGAACTGGGGTCCTCTGGCGTCCCAAGCCAGCTCTTAACCAATGCGCCACTCAGCCGGCCCCAAAATTTTTTTCTTAAACTCACTTAACAGGCTAAATATAACTCAAGGGACAGGAGGTTATTTATATTTTTTACCCACTTAGTGTAACCATTCCTACATTTTGCTGCAGAAATATTGTGTTCAATCATGAAATGCTGCCTCTTCCCTTTCTAAAATCCAAATTTTTTGAATTCCAAACCAAATGGGACTCCAAGGGGTTTAATCATCTACCTGTAATATTATATAGAGATATCATTGTTTTTTTACCTTTATATTTGTACCCAGTATTATGTTTTTAAGATCCATCCATGTTGTTGCATGTACATCCAGTCCATTAAACTGTTGCAGAACACCCGGTGAAGCGGATCCCTCACATTTTACCTACTCACTCCCCCAGTGGTGAGCAACTAGATTGCCTCCAACTTCCCACAACTACAAACAATGATTCAATGAACATCCTTATACATGTCCCTTTAGGGGGCTGCATAAGAATCTCTCTGGGATATATACCCAAGGTAGAACACTGGTAATCAGGTGTACATATACTTGAATCTGACCTAGCCAGATTCTAGAATGCCTTCCAATACAGCTGCATCGGTTTACTTGCATTATATAAAGGACCCTGGAATCGTCCATTTCCACCAACACTTGTCAGTGTCCATGTACTGATTTTTGCCAGTCTCATAGCTATAAAATGATGTCTCATTCTTGCTTTCATTTGCATTTTTTATTATAATATATGTGAGCGTCTTGTGATGCTGGTTAGCCTTTGGGGTTTCCTCTCTGCAAATTATCTATTCACAGGCTTTGTCCATTTACACTGGGATTTCTGTCTTTTTCTTTCTGACTTACAGGAGTTCCTTGTATACTTCCCTATTGGTTTTAGACATTGCAAAATATCTTCTCCTAATCTGTCAGCTGTCTGTTTTGTTCATGGTTCACAGGAAATCATACTGCAGAAATTCTTAATTTTTATGTAATATTTATCAGTATTTTGCCTTATGGCTTGGAACTTTGATGGTTTTTAAAAAATCATTTCCACTCGTGGGTGACAAAATAGTCTCTTAAATTTTCTTCTACTACTGTAATAATTTTGCATTTCACATTTAGTCTTTAATCCACTTCCAAGTGGCTTCACCTCTGTATTTTGTTTTAGGTTGGAGTCCAGTTTTATTTTTCACCACATAGTGAGTGCTTTCTACTAAACAATCCATGCTCTCCTCATTAATCTGAAAGTCATCTGTATCTCATACCAAATACCTATATGTACAAGTCTTTATTTTGTTTCAATGGTTTATTTGGCTGTTCTTTTGTTAAACACTATTTTTATTACTATTGCTTTGAAATATGTCTTTATATCTGGAAGTACTAATTCCACATCTTTAGGATTCCTTTGTAAGTTTATCTTAGATATCCATAAGCTTTTATTCTTATATACTTTAGAGTAGGCTTATTATTAATTTCCTCAGAAAATTTATTTGTAATTTGTATTGAATTGTATTTAATATGTAAATTAATTAGAAGAGACTTGAGTTCTTTATACATTAAGATCTTCCACCCAAGGATATGGAATACATTTCCATTTCAATTAAATCACTCTATGTATTTGACTTTTAAAATTTTCTCCAAAGCTGTCTTATGCTAACTCATGTGATAAATAAAACAACCCAAAATATCGGTACTTTTATGATCATCATTTTCCAGATGAGGAAACTGGGCCCAGAGATAAGTAACTTGACCAAGAACACACAGTAACAACACAAGTAAGTAGCAGAACCTGGATTCAAATAGTTTAGAGTCCATACTCTTAACCCACTATACTGCCTCTTTATCTATAGTTATTTTATAAATTCACTGCTACTGTAAATAGTATCTTTTTTTTTAAGAAATTTTATTGGGGAACAGTGTGTTTTTCCAGGACCCATCAGTTCCAAGCCAAGTAGATGTCTTCAATCTGGATGGGAAGGGTGCAGCTCCTTGGTTCATGTAGGGATCGAACCGGCAACCTTGGTGTTATGAGCCAGTGCTCATAACCACCTGAGTTAACCCGCTGCCCCAAATAGCATCTTATTTTTATCATTTATTTATTATCTGGTTATTATTTTAATTATATTTTCTAATTGGTTGTCGCAGGTATAGAGAACTTGGTTGATTTTCCAAAGTTGATATTTGTATCCAGCGAAGTTGCTAAATTCTCTTATTAGTTCTACTAGTTGATCTACTGTTTCTGTTACTTTTTTTTTGTATATCAACTATAAATAATGACAATTTTGCCTTTTCCTTTCCAATTTTTAAACCTTTCATTTCTTTTTCTTTCCATATCGCATTGGTCAAGACTTCCAGTACAATGTTCCACATTATGGAGTAGTGATCATGGGTAGATAATGTCTCTTATAGAAAAGTAATGTTATACCAGAAGCAGGTTTTCATTTAATCTTGGCTACAGTTTGTGCAGCACATCAGAGAACTGTTCCCAGAAGCACAGGGTAGAAACTGGGCCTGGTGGCCAAAAATCTATTCTGAGCAGAGGGCCTCTGCTCATTTATGCCACAGAAATTTCTTTTCCATAGGAGGCTGCCCTTCCAGGAGAGAAACAGCTCAATTGTGATAAACTTGACTTCATTCTCACTTTAAGTATATTTAATTCCATCCTAATCCCCTATGGCAACAACACAGCTCTGCACCTATCATTTGCTTCCCACAATCTCCTACAGACAAAACTGTTTCTGATGGCACATTGGTCTCTACCCCCATGGGGTAATTCACAGACAGTAACATTGGAAGGAGCCTTAGTGATCACCTATTGCTCTCATTTACACACATCTGTAAGTCCCTATGGCGGGTGCCTCATCACCTTTGAGTAGATGATCTGCTTAGAGAGGCTGATGCCAACAACAGAGAGAGCTTGAATCGGACCAGAGACTAACACAGCTTTCTCCCAATTGGCTTCACCGCCCCACCTTTCAGTAGAAGTTGGCCCTGCCAAGTGTTCATGGTAGCACCTCAGGGCTTGCAGTGACCTCATCTATTCCAACTTCAATGGGGACCCAGAGGTGAGAAAGAGGAAGCACCCACTCTTCTCTCCCATATCCCAAAAGGTTGATCCCGACCCACCATTGGTGCATTTGCACAAAGGCGGGCACTGGCAGCTCCACAGTGAAGTCCTGGGGCCTTAGTGCAGTGAGACCATCAGAAGCTTTGAGTGGGCGACCAAACACACCACCCCCCCCCTTTCATACACACCCAGGGTGACTAATGCTTGTGGTAGAAATGAGTGAACTGAAAAGTCCCACAGAAACCTCATCCAAAATGGAACTTCTCACTGTCCCCTCCAAACTCACTCCTGTCTTACAGTAATCCCTGTGCAGGAACTGGAACAACTTCCATTCGGCCATTCTCAGTGACTTGCTGGCCCTCGCGCTTGAGGAGTTACCAAGCCTTGGACCCTCCCCGGCCCCCAAGAGTCCCTCCTGCTCGCCCTCTGTCTTCCATTCTGAATGGGGTCTTCACCACACCCTCCCAAGTGCTCCCTCTGCTCCACTCCTCATCCCTAGGTGCCATCCTCAATACTACTGTTGAAAAATTTTTTCGCATCATGCAAATCCAACCATGTCTACTGCCTGAAACCCTAGAAAGAATGTACACTCCTTAGCATGGCATCTACTACCCTACCCACAAAACCCCAATCACCCTCTCCAACCTCACACAGTGACAGCAGGACCCCTAGATCGCCACCTCCCTCTGCCCTCCCTGACTCCCTGTGCTTCTGAACCCTGTTCTCCCACCTAGAACCTGCATCCCATCCAACTGGAAGCAGTCTACTGCCTCATCCTTCAACACACAGGTCAGGGAGGCCTCCTGCTCCTGGAAGTCACTGCTCCAGCTGAGGTGTCCTCCCTCTGGGCTTCTCCCACACCCTGTGCATCCATCCTACTGAATTGTCACAGTTCTTTCCTGGACACTATAAGAAACTGGATTCTCCAAGAAAGTAGTTATTGCATAACCAGTCTGGTTTCACCTCTTTTCATCATTAAGATAGTACCCATGAACAAAACACACTGAGTCAGATTTGGTGTGAGAGCGTCTCAAAGGGGCCTGCCTGTTCACGGCTGGGTGCCTCATGTCTGGCACAATGTCTGCGTGGCACATTGTGGAACATCGGAATGAATGAATGAATGAACGAGCAAACGAACGAATGAATGAATTGCCCACCCCTATCCAGGACTAGGCGGGAGGTCATGTTAAAGGCACACCCTGGATACGCTAGATGAAAGGTGGATGGCTCTACTCTGCGCTGCGTCGGGAGAGGGCGTTTTAGGGAGGCGGGGAGAGAGCTGGGTAGCTAGGGGTTGGGGGTGGGGGGCGTCCCGGCCGTCAGAAAGGGGCCAGCCGTGCCGGGAGTCCTGTATGGCCACTCTGCGTAAATTTCGCTTTCACTTCGGGCCAGGCCGGAGGCGGCGGGACCGTCCCAAAACACTGCGGCTGGGCCCCCCCCGGGAGTTAATCCGAAAGCGTGCTAGCCCCAAAGGCTGAACTCCACGTGTCACCGAGAAGGTGATGTAGAGAGAGACAGAGAGAGAAAGAAAGCAAGAGACCAGAGTCCCGGGAAAGTCCTACCGCGCCTCGGGGCAATTATAAAAATGTGACCCCCTGGGTCGGCCTCCTAAACGCCCTCACCTGCTGCATCCAGCCATCCGCGTCCAGTTTCTGGCTCAGTGTCTGCGCAGTGCCCCCTCAGCATGCGCCCGCCGCGCAGTGAGTACCCGGCAACCAGCCGAAACTCGGGGCCCCGGTGGGGAGGGGCGGCAGCTGGGAAAGAGGAGGCAGAAGCTCGGGACCGCTAAGGGGAGACTGAAGACAATCAACACTTTCGTGTGGAGCAGAAAGATGGGATGGGGAAAGACTTATTGCGCGCTTACCATGAGCTAAATAGGACCTTGTCTCTTTTAATCTTCAAACAGCCCCGTGAGCTAAATATCGTTATGCCCACTTCACAACTGAGAAACTAAAGCTCCGCAGGATGGTTTCTTGCCCAGGGTCCCTCAGCTACAGATCTAAGAGGGCAGATCCCAGCTGACTTCAAAGCAAGGCTTTGTCACTTCCACTCTTTCCAAAACTGGGTTGTGAGTCTGGGCCACTTAGCCTCAGTTTCCCGAGTAGTCCGGCACCTTTGCCTGAACTATTAGTTTGCTCACAGAGTTGGCTTCTAACCCTACAATAGAGCACTGCCTTTTAGGAATTTGAGTCATCTCTCAGGTGTTCAAGGAAGATTAAAAAATGGGTGGAAAGGGGTTGGTGCCCAGAAGAGGTGGATGGGTGGAGATGGCCAGAATGGATGGAAGGTACAGGCAGGCCAAATCAGGCGGACAAGCTCAGTCAGCCCCTCCATTCCCTTCCAGGCCTTCTCCTGGTGGCCACCCTGGTCCTGCTAAACCACCTGGACCACCTCAGTTTGGCCAGGAGCCTCCCCACAGCCACACCAGGCCCAGGAATGTTCCAGTGCCTCTACCTCTCCCAAAACCTGCTGAAGGCAGTCAGCAACATGCTTCAGAAGGTGAGCTTTTCAATGCCCTTGTTCCCACTCTGCAGCCTCTCTAGGGAAGGGGCTTCTCTGAACCCCTGGTCACCTGAAGGAACTACGGGGTAAATTGTGGAAGTTAATCAGGAGCTGTCAAGAGAGGAAGAGGGAACTTTACAAATGGCCCAACTATTAGCTAAAGAGTCTCAATGAAATTGTGTCTCCAGAGAAAGCAAGCGTGGTAATAAATTATAATGGCATTCATTTGGGCTGTGTCTACACAGAGGAAAGTGGATATTTACAGTGTTCCCTGTAGCCTGCCAACGGAGATGGAATTGTGTCAGGCCCACACTGCTTCTCTGACACGCTTATCAATCCAGGAAACTGTTATTAGGTGCAGCCTCTGTGCTCCAGGGGCTACAAAGATGAATTAGACTTGCCCTTCATGCTGCTCGCCAGCTTCCGGTCTGGTGACTCAGTTTGTTGTTGGAGCAACGCATTTCAGGGAGCCTGTGACAGTCTACATCCAGCCTTCATTTTCTAGGGGAAGAGTTATATAAATTTATTTACAGCTTCATTCGTTTTTTTAGGTTTCACATTTTAATGTAAAAATTAAAAGTGCTCTAGTAGCTCTTGCTTTTGCTGCAATGGCCAAAGACTGACGTTTTAGAAGGTGTCATTTTGCCTTCCTGCTCTCTAGTAAATACCTTTCTTGAATATTTTTAGCTTGTTGTTTTATGAGTATCTTAAAATAAACTCAATGCCGCAAGGCCTTCTTAAAGAACTCCTTTTTTCCTTCTTATCTTTCATAATGTGCTGCCAATTGCTCCTTACAGTTCAATCAATCTTAATTAAAAAGGTGGCCTACCAAATGAAAACTGCAGAGATAAGTACTTTGATTCCTGAAGAAAGGTTCAATATGGGTACAAGTTAGGAGCTCCAATTTAAACAGAGACATTCTGTGAAAAAGCTGACTCTTCTACTCTCAAATGCAGCACTAACGTTCAAAAGATTGCAGAACTCAATTTGATATTTTTTTAAAACATCATTCCTATGTCAAATTGGCTGGAATAAATAGCGGGCCACTACAAAAAACAGAGGTGGGAAAGGCACAGCACTCACGGGCCATCCAGCGCACAGATTTGTAGAGTTTGACCCATGTCTTTTATATTGTATTTTGAAATTTTTCACTTGATGCCATCGAAACAGCGAAACTTTCATAAAAGAATCTAAATTTCCAGCTTCTCTTATAAAGATCTGAAGAACTGTAACAGTGGGCCCCCATTTCCAAATCTAGTTTTTTACAACCTGCTCAGAATTGTGGCTGCCCGGGTCTGCTTGAACACCTCCAGGGACAGTGTATTTGTTTTCTATTGCTGCTGTTACAAATTACCACAAACTTAATGGCTTTGAACAACACCAATTTGTTATCTTACAGCCCTGGAGGTCAGAAAGCCAAAATGGGTCCTACTGGGCTAAAATCAAGGTGTCAGCAGAGCTATATGCCTTTCTGGGGACTCTAGGGGTGATTCTGTTTTCTTGCCTTTTCTGGCTTCTAAAGGCTGCCCACATTCCTTGGTATGTTAGCCCCCTTCCATCTCCAAAGCCAGCAATGGCCAATTGAGTCTTTCTCAGGCCACATCACTTTGACCTTGCTTCTTCTGCCTCCCTCTTTCCCAGTGATTACATTGGACCCACCCAGATAATCCAAGATAACCTATTTTAAGGTCAGCTGATTAGCAGCCTTAATTTCCCCTGCAACCTCAATTCCCCTTTCTTTGCCTTTAAACATAGCATCTTCTCAGGTTCAGGGGTCAGGAGGTAGGTATCTTGGGGCGGGGAACATTATTCTGCCAACTAGACAGGGATTTTACTACCTCTTCCCAAACATGTTCTGCACTCGCAAGCCTTGATTCATGGCTCATGCAGTTCCCTCTGCTGGAAATCCCCGCTTTCCTGCCAGTCAGCATTCTAATCTTCTTAATGCAGATGTCCCATCTCTGGTGAAGCCTTTGCTCCCCTTTCATCCCCTCCTTGGAACCTTCATACCTCCTCAGCACATCTCACCTGCTGACGTGTCTCCTAGTCATTTGTGCACTTACTTGCCTGTCTTCTCAGATGAACTTGGAATCCTGGGAGACGTAACAGTCCTCTTCTTTGTCACATTCCTTAGTACCTAGCGTACTGCCTGGCACACATCAGGCTTGCTGAATGGACATGCTTGTAAGGTGACATCTGTGTGTGTGTGTGCGCCACAAATTAAATCTCAGCTTGTCTTTAGGGTTGCATGTTTGTTATATACATCAAGTTGTGACCTTAACAGTTCCCCGTTAGAAGTTTTACTTGAAAAAGATTGTCATAAAACCCAGGTGCTTTGGCAAAAGAAAAAAAAAACCCTGTTGTCACCAGAAGCAAGTGTCACAGCGTGGTGTAGATGCTGATTAGCCCAGCCAGTTTAAATGATTTATAGTGTTTACATAATGGAAAAACACATCATCCAAGGAAACATGTCCTAAAAGCAAAGTGAGAGGAGGGAGGGAGAGAGAGTATAAATGACCTGTTTCCTTTTGTCTTATGAAGAACCTGAAGTTCCTACAGGTCAAAGGAATGGAGTTCAAGGGCAACGAGTTCTGGCTTTGCTGGCACCCCAGGTTATGGGGAGCCAGGTGCCTTATTCATATTATAAACTGGGTTTCTCCTTGTGTTTTTTACAGGCCAGCCAAACTCTAGAATTTTACTCCTGTACCTCTGAAGAGATCGATCATGAAGATATCACAAAAGATAAAACCAGTACAGTAGAGGCCTGCTTACCACTGGAATTAACCACGGTATGGATGATTTTCCTCCAAATTTATGTAATACAGTTAAAAGCTGTGCGTCAAACTTTGTCTTCTTCCAAAAATGTGCATGTTTCTGGTCTCCGCCATCATGGACTTTAACAGGTTCCATGTTATATTTGAAAAAAAAGTTAGATTTGAAAAAATTATAAAAACAGCTAAGGTTTTTCACAACAATGTAAATATACTTAACATTACTGAACTGTACACTTAAAAATAGTTAAGATGGTAAATTTTATGTTTTTTTTTAACCACAATAAGAAAACAGGTGTTTGGGAAGTCAGAAAATTTTATATTAAGAGTGAATATCTTTTTTTTTAAGGTGTTTTTTTTTAATTGGGGAATTGGGGGGATGGGAACAGTGCTGGAGAATTGGGGGAAGGTGAACAGACAAGTTGCTGTCGTTTTGTTCTTCAGTCTAGTTGTGCAGGACGTTGCTTCACTGGCCCAAGTTGGCACCATCATTACGCTCTTCTCTGGCGAGGCAGATCAGTCGCCGGCTTCTGGATGGCCACACACTGCGGCTGTTGGCTACACACGGTAGCCCATGGCAACCCACTGCAGCAGGGGCTGCAGCCTACGCCATCGCCGGCGACTCACGGCAGCCCAGCTCCAGGTTGAGCTGTTGTTCAGCATCTTAGCTGTAGAGGGCAGTGTCACTGGCCCTCATATGTGGGATCCGAACCGGGGCCCTCTGGCATCCCAAGCCAGTTATTAACCATTGCACCACTCGGCCGGCCCAAGAGTGAATATCTTTGATGTATGATTTTTTTCCCCCTTGAATGAGGGTTGCCTGGTTTCCAGAGATCTCTTTTGTAAGTCAGAAAATTAAAGGTTTCAGCCCATATTATGAATTCCTGTCATTGATGTTTGATAATTCTTTCTTCTAGAATGGGAGTTGCCTGGCTTCCAGAAAGGCCTCTTCTGTGACGGTAAGACACAACACTCTTTCCTCATATGCAATTGGGGGTGTGGGGGGGTACATTTCCAGCCCATCTCAATAGTTTCTTTCCCATTTTGTCCTATCACCCAGACCCTGTGCCTTAGTAGTATCTATGAGGACTTGAAGATGTACCAGGTGGAGTTCCAGGCCATAAATGCAAAGCTTTTGATGGATCCTAAGAGGCAGATCATTTTGGATCAAAACATGCTGGCAGTTATTGATGAGCTAATGCAGGTAAGGCCTTCAGCCTATCAGTGAGAGCAATTTCTTCATGCTGAGACAGCCAGCCAGAGTCCCAGATGAAGAGGTACACTGTCAGTCCTTCCTGGATCGGGAGAGGCCTGAAATCCCCTTCTAAAACCCCAGCGGAGCTATAGCCTTGAGCGCGCCCTCCAGAGAAAGGGCAAAGGTTAGCAATTCCAATTAAGAAAAGCAGCCACCCGTTTGTTGACCAATGGTGTGCACCAGGCTCCCTGCAAATATTTTCATACATTTTCTTATGTCATCCCCACAACTATATGGGATCTGGACAAAGGAGGAAACCACAGCTTAGAGAGTTGGCCACTTGTCTACAACCATACAGCTTGTAAGTGGCAGAGCTAGGATTGAACCCCTAGTCAAAAGGCTTCCACTACACTTCTCACTCAACTCTACAAGCTCCAGGATGGGCTTGTGAGGGGCCAGCATGCCTATCTGCAAATATTGCTCAAGAAAACAAGCAGGGTTAGTGCCTGGGTATGACCCATTCTGAACCAAAATTGTGAACAAAATAAAAGAATGACCTATCACCTGGGGACCCCTACAATGTGTTTCATAAACAAGAACTTGCTTTGTAATTTCTGGAGCACCATAGCACATGATGCTAGTAAAATACACAGCAATAGTCACTTAAGAAAGAGCAGGGTAAGTGCCATGGTGACCAAGGCATGGGATAAAAATACGGTGTCAGAAATCATTGTCTAGGGCCGGCCAAGTGGCTCAGTTGGTTAAGAGCTCACTCAAGAGTATGAGCTCTGAGCAACAGGGTTGCCGGTTCATTTCCTGGCCTGAGCTGAGCTGCCAATAGCTGCCAACAGGTGGCAGGATGGCTCAGCTAAAAAAAGAAAAAGAAAAAAAGAAATCATTGTCTAAAAAGGAATGTTTGTTTTTATTTCATTCATTCATTCGTGTGTTTGTGTGTGCCAAATTACTTGTTTGAAAGGCAGCGAACGTCATGCAATTATCAAAGAATGTTACCATCTAGAGAGTTGTAGATAATATTTCATTTTCAGGACCAAATCGGGTGATTTGGGCACTGGAATCAATTCTACGAGTCATTAGACCATACCCAAGCTATTTGCCCCTGTGTGCCTCAGTTTCTTCCTCTGTAAAATGGGAGGACTTGACCCACCTACCTTTCATTTAGGTTTCTTGTGAGGAACAAGTGGAAGTACTGATCATTGTGCAAACGAAGGTCTTGCATTGTGTTGTCAAATCAGAGGGTGAAAACTGGGAGATCCATTGTCAGGTTATTTAACTGACATAAATGTTTCCAGTAAACAGGTCTGTTACTGATAGAGCATTTCAATCAATAGCCATCCATCACCTCCCTGTTCTAAAAAGGACTTAGCTTCTTAATGTAACATAAGAATTAGATATTGCACCAGATGTCATCTTCACAGAATTGTTCCTTTCTAAAATGCAACTTCCCCTGATGATTTTCTAAATAGCTTTAAGGATCTTTCCAGAGCTCACTGAAGATACATGTGCTTAGATAATGAGATTTCTTCTCTCAGGTTCTGCCTGGCCATCTGGTGGGGAGTAGACTGGGCTGGGTTTAGATGTAATGAGGGAGGGGGTTGCAGGCTCTGAGACATGTGTTGGCTTCCCCCATTTTTATAGAGGGATGTTTTAATTTTGGAATACCAAATATGTCATGCTCAATGTTTATTCTCCTAGGCCTTGAATTTCAACAGCGAGACTGTGCCACAAAAACCCTCCCTTGAAGAGCTGGATTTTTATAAGACGAAAATCAAGCTCTGCATCCTTCTTCATGCTTTCAGAATTCGTGCAGTAACTATCGATAGGATGATGAGCTACCTGAATTCTTCCTAAAAAGCTGAGAGCTCTCCCAACCTTAAAGTCATTTTTATAAAAATCTGAACCAAAGAAATTTTAACAGAATGTGGGTTAAGAACTAGAGAGAGGGTGGCTTTACCTAGTCCTACTAGTGCAGTAAATTGTATGTTCTTTACATTAGTCACCACCCAAAAGCTGAACAGTATGACTATTATATTCACATGATTCCTTTCATCAATCATGTTTCACGTTTCCTATGGATAAGTTGTTTTAAAGTTGTAATGAGCAAATTGCTAAGGAGGAAAAAATTTCTTCACTGAATGTTTTTCTTTTTAATAGAAGAGCAAGAATTTATAAGCTATTTCTATATCAAAGTGTTTGTAGAAACATTCAAGCATAATTTATTTAAAAATATTTATTTATATAATTTTATGTTCATAAAGGCATGCGAACTTTTGTAAGATAAGGTTTTTATAAGTTATAGATCACTTATATTTATTTGTTATATTTATTAAAATATTTATTTTCAAATTGAAAAATACCATATGTTCTTCTAAAAATAAAATTATTAATTAAAGTAATTCTCATTTTTTTCTAATGTAATTGGAGTACTTTAAGTGTTAACATACATACTGTGGGAAAATTGAAAACTGATGAAAATTGAACAAAATTATCTTGGGAAGAATTCTACAACATTCTTACCCTTTCCTAATTCCTTTAATCCTTTAATCCCATTATTTTAAAGAGAGCCTTGTAAGACTAGATATGCTTTAATACTGAGGCCACTGAGTTATGGTTTTGAGAGTATATTTTGTTACTTTTATTCACATCTAAAAGTAAAAAGAGATAAAAATATTTTTCCCTGTTAGGCACAGCCCCATCACATACTGTGCATTAGACAAATACATAATAATATCCTCCAACTGGGAAAAACATCATTAAGAGGCATTCTAGTTAAATTATTCTAATTTTTGTGACCCTTGGGGCCCTTGGGAGAAGTTGTTTCTAAATTACAATGAGCAAAACTCTCCATCTGCTTTAAATTGTATAGAACTTCTGCCTGAACCACATGGATAATTACCTTGCTTTGGCTTAAGAGATATGCTCTTAATTGATAGGGCAGGTAGATAGATAGAAATGAGCAGGATAAGGAGAGACTTAGCCCATTAGAAACCCTTGCTGTATAGCTCCTACTTGGGTCAAGACCCCTTGCAGCTGCCCTCACTTAGAACGCCAATGCCTTCCTAGCCCAGCAGGATTCCAGGCTTACACACACCCCTAAATCAAAGGGATATGTCGTTAAAAGCTAGAAAGAGAAACCATCCAGCTTATCAGAATATACATCCTTCTTCTCAGGGCCATTTTTAATGAGCTTCTCAAATAAATCATGGGAAATTAACAGATTCACGCTTACACCCTGCGGCAACCTTGGGAACCAGAGGGGAGGATGGGACACCTCAGTAGAGAAAGAGAAAGGTAACAGGGAAGGGAGAGGGGGAGAGAATTCTTCCCATAGATAAAAACCCTCACACAAAGTAAGGAGAGGCTGCTTCCCTCTCCTGGGTCAGCCCCTCCATGTCTCGGAGTGTACTCGCTTTTACTAATAAACTTTTTGCTGTTCTATGCTGCACAAACATAATGACCCAAATATTATTGTAAATTCCATCTTTTTAATTCTCCAAACCATGTGAATTTTAGAAGATTCACCTGGCAGAACACCACATAATTTTAGTACTGTGATAACCATATTCCTCCTTAATGTGAAAAGGCCGTAAGAAACAAACTATTTATAGAGTGGACCCCTCTTTCCTCGTGTGAATCTTCTCCACCAGACCCCAATTCCTATAACCCTGTGAACTGTGAGGGGAATGTGTTTAGCCACCCCAGGTCCTCATCTGTGTGACAAACTTACTCATTTTTCAGATTCTCACTCCACTTGACATACGAGATAAAAATCAGTGGCAGCTAGATCCCATCTTGATCTCCCTTTTTTTAGGGATGGATTCCTTTACAAGCTTGCATGACCCCCAAGTGAGTCAGACAGGAGTTTCTTGCCTTTCAAGTGTTGGGTTTGGGGTTTCAGCAGCTTTGACTGTGGGAAGAGCTTGATGACTTGATGGGACTGGGGCTGTACAGTGGCTGCCACTCATGCAGACTGGTGACTTGTCTCGTCTGTGCCCAAAAACAAGGAGAGGCAGGTAGGTCGTCCATCCTATGGACTGGGTTTATACAGAGGAACACAGGTGTTTCTTTGGTTCTAGAAATTACCATGACACAGTGCTTCAAAAACACGACTGGCCCAAAGAACGTCTTCACAATTAATTCCATCCTTCATTACCTGGTTAGTTTTCCACTTTTTTCTGTTAAGCCTGGGTCTGTCATTTACAAGTTGTATGTATAACATGTTGTTTTAACCTCTCCCTGTTTCCTCCTCTAAGAAATGAAGCTAATACTAGAACCTGCCTCGAAGATCAGCACGAGGGTTAGATAGAACAACTCATTCAAAGCACTGGCATTGGTCTGGCACATAAAACATGCACAATACATGTGAGCAATTTTTGAAAAGTATTATTAGCCTTTAGGTTTGGTGACTGGGCCAAATTGGTTCAAGTCTCTTTGCTACTATTATCTGTGAAATTCAAAAAACTGTAGCCCCTGCTTCCCAGTGCTATTGTGAGGATTATATGACCCAGTACAGTGCTGGCATCTAGTCAGCACTCAACAGCGATTGTTTCAAATTGTTAAGATTATTTTCCTGAAAACCTGAGTGACGCAGCCCCTCCATAGCCCTTGGCAGGTCCTGGGCATGGGCGTTCACAGGAGGCCAGCTGGTGCAAGACAGGAGGGCAAAAAGGCACAGTCCTTGCCTGCACAGAACCAAGGGTGGGAAGTAAAGTTAACAGAGTTAGGACTAACCCCTCCCCCCGCCCCCCCAAAAAATATTCCCCAGTCCTAGCCTATTAGAGATTCATTTTATTAACAAATTACTTATTTACAAAAAGAAATAAATAGAGAAAGTGTTTCACATACCTGAGAATGGCTTAATCAGATAATATGAAAGCCAGCTGATAGCTGCCCCACTGAGGGCTCAGAGCTTTGGGGAACAGGGAAGGTTCTTGGGGACTAGCCCTACATCCAAAGGTGGATATTGCACCACTCAAAAGATGCAAGGATCCATATGTTCATTACAGCATTATTTACAATAGCCAAGATATGAAGACAATCTGGGTGTCCATCATGGATGGATGAAGAAGAGGTGGTACACACATACAATGGAATACGATTCAGCCATAAAAAAGAATGAAATCCTGCTATCTGCAACAACATGGATGGACCTAGAGGATACTGTGCTGAGTGGGGTAAGGCAGACAAAGACAAACACTGTATGATTTCACTTACGTGTGGACCTAAAAAACAAAATAAATTAACATACAAAACAGAAACAAACTCACAGATACAGAGAACATCCTGATGGTTGCCGGATGGGAAGGGGATTTGGGGGATAGGTGCAAAAGGGGAAGGGATTAAGAAGTACAAATTGGGGGCCAGCCGAGTGGCTCAGTTGGTTAAGAGCTTGCTCAAGAGTGCGAGCTCTGAGGAACAGGGTTGCCAGTTCGATTCATGGCCCAAGCTGAGCTGCTGCTGAGCTGCCAACAGGTGGTAGGATGGCTCAGCTAAAAAAAAAAAGAAGTACAAATTGGTAGTTATAGAATAGTCATGGGGATGTAAAGTATAGCATAAGGAAGATAGCCAATAACATTGTAATAACTATGTATAGTGTCAGATGGGTACTCAATTTATTGGGGTGATCACTTCATAAGTTATATAAATGTCTAATCACTATATTGTACACCTGAAACTAATATATTATTGTATGTTGACCAATTGAAAAAAAGTCATTTTTTAAAAAAGGGAGATTTAAAGGGGCTCAGATACCCTAAAAAGGAAAGAAAACATGGGGACGAGGGAAACCTGGGCCAGCACTGAAGAGATCATGAAACCCCTTGGCCATGTCACCCTGGGCTATTCAGTTGTTGTCCTTGTTTGAGGACTAAGCACTTGGTTGTAGACAGCATAATTTTGGTTTCCTAGTTTAAGAAAAAGTGCATTACAATATTGCTATGGACTGAATTGTGTTACCCTAAAATTCTTATTTTGAAGCTCTGATCCCCAGTGTGATGATATGTGAAGATGGGACTTTAGGAAGTTAATTAAATCATCACCATGGAGCCATCATGATGGGATTAAGTGTCCTTATCAGAAGAGACTCAGAGAGATATTCCCCCACCCCCATGTGAGGACACAGTGACAAAGTGGCTGTCTGCAAACCAGGATGGTTCCACAGAGCCTGTGCAATCAACCACTGCACCCTTCTGCCTCTTGTATTAGGGCCACAGTAAGTCATGGGATGCTTTCAACATAACCAAACAAACATCATCATAGTTTTTATGTATCTCTTCTCTCCCTCACTACACCATGAGAACCTCAAGCATAGGAAATGTCGCGTTACTCATGCATTTGCGTTCTCAGGCCCTGGCACTCAAAAATGGTAGAAAGAGAAAGGCAAATCTTCGTGGGTTCCCACTTGCATTTCATTTCTTTTCCTAAGCTAGGAATAAATAAAGCTTTTATAGCCTTTAAACATCAAGTTATTCCCAATTACAAAAAAATGTTAAAAATTGTAAAGGCACATGCTTGCTTGGTTCAAAACAACTACATATGCTTATATTGGGGGTGGGGGGATCCAAAATTCATGAGCCTGTTGATTTAAATAGTTCACATATTTATGGTTTGGGATTTTGTGGTTACTATCCTTTAGAAACCACGTGCCAACATACGACAGTGGTGAACTAGAAAGTGGTTTGCTACACATTGCAGATGACTTAGAAATAACTCCCGGATGACAGTTTAAGAGACCCTAGCAACCATCTCATCGGCTGGTTCCCACACTGCCCAACAGGAATGGCTCAGGGTCCAGCAGGGCTCTTCATTATCCCTCAAGAGCCCTCAGAACCTTGCCCGCACCAAAGCTGCTCCTTTTGAATGTTTTGCCAATGCAGGTTCCAGGCAACAATTCCTTTCACAAATGGCTTCTATAGCTCAGGAAAAGTTAAAAACTCACTGAACTAGTCCAAGCTCCTCCTTGCAAAACCATCTTTTAGATTCCCCACTTGCTTGGAAATAAAACACTGCTGTCAATGCACAGGGCATACCCCCTTCTAAAAACGAAACTCATGAGGCAGCCGGTTAGCTCAGGTGGTTAGAGAGCAGTGCTCATAACACCAAGGTTGCCAGTTTGATCCCCGCATTCCACGGAGCTGTGCCCTCCACAACTAGATTGAAGACAACTACTTGACTTGGAGCTGATGGGTCCTGGAAAACCATTGTTCCCCAATAAAATCTTTTAAAAAACAAAAAAACAAAGCTCATGCTGGAGGTTAAAGCAAACAGCAAGATGGACTTCCACAGAATAAAGATGGCTGACTCACTCCAGGCTGTCTAACGAGGAATCTACATCACGATGGGAACAAATTGCATCTAAGTCCACTGGAGGGCTCCAGGACAGAGCAGGAGATCCCAGTGAAGCAGCAGGAAGAACTTCAGAGCTCAGAATTCAACCCCAGGGCCTTGAGTTTAGTATCAGCAGCTACAGAGCCATTATGGGAAATGCTCAAACCATGGTATATGGGTTGGAATTAGATACAATCACAGCAGCACCTCCCTGGTTACCCAGTTGGGGATCATGCCCTTTACCAGCAGTGTGCTGCCTCACCCCAAGGACTCCAAGCACAGGGCAACGGGCTAGGCTAACTGCTGAAACCACCATCCTCCTGAGACACATTTAAAAATCAGCAAATACGGCGGCCTCTTTAGAAAATGGAGTGAAAACGTGCTTCCACATGACAAAACAAGAGAGGAAACTTCTCCCCTAAAGCAATACAGTAAAATAACAAAATGAGTCCCAAATGTGCAAGAAAATCCTATTAGAGATGTGCAGGCAGGGAACTAATATGAGCCCACTCGGTTATAAGTAAAAACACACCTTCCCATCACAGCGGGAGGGTGGGGGTGGGGGGGTAATGGGGTGGCAGGGGGGCTCTAAAGCATTCCTGTAGTGAGATGAGTTATGGGGATGTGCAGGTTGTCTTAAACCTGTGCAAACTCCTGGGAGAACTAGAACTCAGGTTTACTCTCACTCAGCCTTGGTCCAAGAACTGGGTCCAAAGCCAACTAATGTCTAAACAGTCAAGATAATAGCAGTCGAGGAATATGATGCTTTAAAAAATAATTTGTAAGGAAATAAGAATACAAGGAAGCCACATTTGCACTGTACAAATGCAGGTTTATTTTTCTTCCCTTCATCCACAGTATGAAAAAGGCTGTAAATTGTTAGGAAACCAGCTTATATACAAAGCACCACTGAAATGATGCTTTTCTTCAAAAAACAACTTATAAAAAATAATAAACATTTAAAAATTCAAGTTAAATAGTTTATATTTCCGAATGTTAAAACTCCATGTGTTTCCTAAAATATAGTACAATTAAAAAAAAAAGAAAACTCATAAAGTGACACAGATTCGAATTCCACAGGATCCCTGACAATTAAAAATATATTCTTCCCTATAAAGTAAATGTGTTCTTCACAGGCAAAACAATAAAGTGTGTTTCTCTGATTAATTCATTGAGATTTATTTTACTCTCCAACTAATGTTGACAGAAGACTAATGGTAATTTATAGTTTCTTCAAATAAGTTAACAAAACATATCCAAAATGTTAATCACCACATGCATGATTCTGGGACAGTAACAATATCTATACATATGCCCCTCCAAAAAAAAACCATTTCACCAATTAACAAGAGCCAATGTGGCCCATGAGTCCCTGGGGCAAGTCTTCTTCAAGAAGAGATGGCAGTTTCACTTGGTCCTGCTAAGGCTATTTCTGAGTGGGTATTCCCCACCCCACCCCCACCCCCAGGAAATAAATGACCCCAGGGTGAAAGTCAAGAAATGTAGTGTTTGGCCTGGTGATTTTGGAAAGTTGATGAAAATTGCAGCAACTCTGATAATTGATCCAGTTGAACTTGCCTGGTAAGGTGAGGAGATCAACTCTGAGTGTGCATAGCAACACCATGATGGGAGAGGATTACATTCATTTCTAATCACTCTAGGGCCAGGTAACATGATTGGTCTAAGGGTTTAACAGGCCACTAGCCAGATAGGTTAGTAATGTGAGATACAGAAATCATATCCCACATAAAAAGATATATTGTGCCTAAAGGCACGTGTGCCTGTTTGTGTGGGAGCTAAAAAGACAGGAACCTCTCTCTTCATTAATGTCAATATGATAAAAGCTGAACTAAATGGGTGCAAGTTTAACTATTTAATTGCTAAAAATGTTTCAAACTCTTGTTAGGAATTTCATAGTCCACAGATTCCAAAAAAGAAAATTACCACATTTCTCACCTGAGTCATTTTAAGCACCCCTTGTAATTATACCTGTTTGGGTGGGGCAGCAGGCTGAGGCTGTGTGAGGAGGAGGTGGGGGAAAAAATAAAAATAAAAATAAATCTTGACATAATAGAGGTGTTTTCTTCCTCAAGTTTTCCAAATAGCTTGCATTCTTTTTACCCCTGGATAATGCAAGCTATAGAGTGGCTGACTATAAAGACGTCCCTTCCACAGACTGTGAAGTTCAAGGTCTCATCAAGTCTATAACCAATTATCAGTGGAAATGGTGTTTTGCAGGTAAAAGTTCCTGAGGCTTCCTTTTTCAGTTCATCCTCCACATTTCATATTGCCTGTAAGAAACCTAACAAAACAGAGAATCAAACAAATTCAGGGATTCATTGTTGGGGGGTAAAAGAGGCATGCTTTAAAATAAAATCACTTGTCCATTTCAAAAAGGAACTCCTGGGAAGTTGCTAAGTTTTCCTGAACTTAACAGAAGCCGTTCCAATTTAAAGGCTATGGTTATAAGATACTAAAATGTCCTGATAAAAATACAAAACTCAGCCGATTAACTGGGTACTTTGATTATAGTAAGGTATACAACACTGGTAAACTGGGAGTGGGAGGGGGTGGCTTGTTTGCCTTTAACTCACAGATTTTTTTTTTCCTATTTAATGAGACGTTTGGACTAATAAGTTTTACGATCTCTTTATTGCTAAAAAATGTCACAAACCCTTTTATATTTCTAATGTCATTAAGTTAAGTGTCAGCGAGGTCAGGAGCAGATAAAAAACATGCAAAAGAGCTCATTACGAAGGGTTTAAGACAGATTTTCCAAGACTTCCTTTGACGGAAGGCACTGATTCTTTGGTTATCACAGCATAGTGACCATTGTAGTCAATAGGCAGAAGCACCTACATGCACATAAGCAGATTCCCACAAGTGGGCCTCAGTAATTTACATAACTTCAACATATCCAAGAATAAGAATGAAAAATTTTATGTTGAAACCAGCTATTCTATTTGCTTGAGGCTTCTGCATCCGAAGTCTACCAGGTGAGTCCAGAAACCTTGTCCACTGAGCCAGAAAGCATCCTGATAGATCACCAAACGCTTTTACTTTTCATATAAACTTCTGGGGCTTTTACACACTTTTACATCTTTTTTGGAATAAAAAGTCCAAATAGCACTCCAAACAAAAACCTCTCTCGGGTATTACTGAGGGTTGAGATGTAACATCGTATTTGTTAACTATAGTAACGATATATAATCATCAAAGTTTTGAATTGGTTTTACCTCGGGTATAACAATGTGCTAAATGAAACAACAAAAGTAGTGCTTAGGACCCTGTGGTTTTCTGGATTGAGACTAGAACTCCCTTCAGCCTCTGGGTCCACTTTTTCCCTTCACTTCTTTGCCGCCTCTGAGGTTCCCTGGTGCCACCCAGTGGCCTCTCTGAGCACTGCTTCACACCACGGAAGGCTCAGCAGGCTCAATGCTACCAGTTGTCTCAAGTACCATGACATTTGTATCTACCCGGTACTGAGCCTTACTACCTGTCTGACGCTTTACATGCATTACCTCTTTTCGTTCTCACAACAGACCCAGGACATAGAAGTTTTCGCATCCAACTGACAGATGGGAACAGAGGCTTAACGTTAGGTTAAGAATTTGCTTAGTCACAAAGCTAGCCAATGCTTGAGCAGATATTTGAACGCTTCCTCTGACTCCATGCACAAATCATCATTATTTGGATTACGGCAGCTCACGTGCTTACTGCAGATAATCTGCATAATTATCTGAACCCAAGCTTACACATAACCAAGCAACACAATCTATAGAAATTGGCTATTCACAAAGACATAGCTTGATTTCATGTAAATTACAAAAGATAATTTCCTTCTCACCTTCCAGCACAGCTTGGATTTCAGCGGAGACGTTCTTTAGGCAGTTATATAAATTCTGGACGGTGGCATTACTCTGCTCCTTTTCTTGCCACTTCTTCAGCATCCTAAACTTACAGATTCTATCATTTTCTTTCGTCTCCCGGATGATATCAATATCACTAATTTCCAACTCCAGGTTGACAATGGCGATTTTTACCCACTCCTTCCCCAACTTCTCAGCAAGGGTACTCAACTGAGTGTCTGTTAACAGGGTCTGCGTGCCATCTAAAAAGACATGAGGAATTCAGTAGTTCCTCTCGACATTTCAGTCATTAATAGCAACTTACAATGAAAATGGATTCTGCTTCTATTAAAAGGGATACTATGATTTGTAACTGTAACTGCTTTAAAAATATATTTAAATGCCAAAAAAAAATTCTGCTTTCCCAACTATCTTAAGGACTAAACGGAACTATTTCATATAATTAACCATTAAGCTGGGGTATAAGGTTCACAACGATAATTCAGGGACGAGACTATTTTACAGAGCAGCACAAATTAGGTTGGAATTTAAAAATTCAGACACCAAAAATAATTTAGGTGGCTCAAAAAGAAAAACACATAGCTTCGCCCTTGCCCACCTCTATATCACTATCTAAATGTTCGCACCACTAAAGGGGGCAGCAAGGAATCTGAACTGCAGTCTCCATTATGCCATCTCCTGGCATTAGGGGGAAAAAGCACACTCCACAGAAAAGTCAGGTATCTGTAATACCTGTTGATCTCTAAGGAAGTGTCATAATCTTGGAAGGGCATATATTTTCCAACACCAACAACCGGCCCCATAAAAAATATTAGCCCTATCATTAAACTAGATTTTCAACAATCACTGTTAATAGCTGGTTGTGCTATGGTGCGGACATGCTCGCTGGCTGCAGCTTCTTCAGGTAAAGATCCTCAAGGCATGACAAATACTGGAGGGGATGTTAGAAGGGAGTGAGAGGTAAGAGACTTCCTGCCTCTTCTCCAGGACTGCCACACCTCTGCTCGTCTAAAGCCAACAATTTATTAATGTGAATCTAACATGTGTACTTGGGACCCTTCCCCATCTCGGTTTCCTCTCCAACTTTCTAGACTAAAAGGATGGGTTCTTGAAGACGGCTTGCGCCCTCTAGTGGTTTCCTGGGACACGGCCGATCTCTCCTCACTCTCAAAACCCACTATCAAGAAAAACTGCACACGGAACCTAGTAAAAATGCAAGTTTTCAAGGCCATCCCCAAACCCACTGTTATCAATCTCTGAGCTGAAATTTTAACAAGATCTCAAAGTGGTTCTGTTAAAGTTGAGCGCTGACCATATTATGAAAAGTACACAGAGATAAACTGAATCTGAAACTACCAGGTAAGGACTGGCTATCTCAAAGAACACTGTGGAAATACCTAAAACAAAAATCAATCTTTATTAATTTGTTTATTTTGATCCCATATTGTCAACTCCAAAAAGGTTGGAAATCCTTAATCTTTCATTGTGAGTTTGATAATTTTAATTCTATTTCTAGCTACTTGGTATTGGAGCTAATTTTAAATAGCCAAATATTGGGTTGTCGGAAAAGTCATGACACATTTTTGCAATGAAAAACATAGAAAAAACATGTCATGACTTTTCCGACAATCCAATAATTGCATGAAGAAAAACTTGTTCTATAAATCAAATTAATATAAAATTGTGTCCCATTCAGTTATGAGTAAGTTCTTAGGATCTAATGTACAGCATGGTGACTACAGCTAATAATACTGTATTATATATACTTAAAATTTACTAAGAGAGCAGATCTTAAGTGTTCTCATCACCAAAAAAAAAAAAAAAGTAACCATGTGAGGTGATAGATGTGTCTGTTAATTAATTTGATTGGTATCTACAATTTCACAATGTATATGTATATCAAGTTATCATGGTGTACTTTAAGTATATACAATTTCATCTGTCAATTATATCTCAACAGAACTAGAAAAAATTGTATCCCAATGTAGTTATGTCTAAAAATAATTTCAGAGCCTCATCTATTTTGTTGACTTAATAATAAACATTTCTATAGTGATATACAGTAAAATCACAAATATGTCATCCTCAAAGCCTCCTGCTCTAGAAAGTGAAGAATATCTTATTTCACTTTAAAGAGAGTTTATCCACTTTTAGAGATTCATACCTTACAATAATAGTAAAATAAAAGGTATTTTGATGAAAGGGTTAATTTGGAGAGTTACATGAGGTCTCTAAAAACTTGAAACCTTGTCTCATATAATTTGTGTCCAGATTTTTAAACTTAGATTTGTGAATTCTTGCTGGACTTGCATTTTGAGCTACACACTCCATCTTCTGGCTCCTCAGAGTACCGTTAAATGTTTTAAATCTCTTATTGTATTTTCACAAAAACAGAGCCTTGGTCTGTGACATTTAATTGAAAGAAATTGAGCTCTGCCTCCAATAACTGAGCTGGAGGTGCTCTGCCTGGATGTAGCTTACAACTGTGAAGCCAATAACTGCACACATGGACATTCTCGTGGACACGGACAGTCAGTCCTTCACTCAGTCAACGTTCATCATCGTCTGCATAAAGGCTCCATGCTCAGTGCTATGGAAAATGTAAAGATGGACAGGCTATGACCCTGCCCTTAAGGACGTCCTCTCCCCTCAATTCTGTTAAGACTGAGTGAAGGGTTGGAGTGGGGAATCAAGCTGGAAAAGTAGGTTGGGGTAAGCCAAGGAGAACTCTTTTGCACGCCTGAGAACGCAGAACACAGGGAGGGTATCTGGGAGGGCAGGCGCATCAGGGATGTGGTTCGAGAAAGACTGACCACAGAGCACATGTGTTGGATGAACGTCAATGGCGGACCCTGGGGAAAATAATTTGTAGCCACTGATGATACTGTTACAAACCTGAGGTATCAACCATCTTCATTCTTTTATCACAGGCCTCCTCATCAGGTAAGGTGTTGCTCAGCTTTCGTCGCCTCTTACCTTAAAAACAAAACAAAACAAAACAAAAAAACAAATTTACTTAGTTTATTATTTTCTGGTCTCCATTATTTATCTTTATTATTATGTTTTTATTAATCCATCATGTTTATTATTTTCTAGTGACATTCAATCTGCTTTTTCTTTTTTTCTTTTAAAGCATCATTCAGGCAGAAACAAACTGAAAATGGCTTCTAAGGTTGTTCAGCAGATGAAGAGAGTTACAGAGCACGTAACAGATCCTTAAAGAGACCACCTTTGCACGATGAGATAAAAATCATAGCAAAAGGAAGGAATAGAAGAGCAGGTTAAACTCACTTAATGTCTAGTGACTAGCACTTACCACTTGTGCTGCTTTTCGAAACGTTCCGGCTCCGGTCTTGCTGAACCCAGTCACCTGTTTAAGTACAATGAGCATCAATTAGAAAAAGTGGTATGAAATTTGAATTAATGAAATCAGTTTGTGAAAGTGTGTGAAGCTCCAGGGTCTTGGCAACCTCTTGGAAGTTCAAATACGAGTTTGGAGCTTAACTTGGTATGTGTGCAAAAGCACTAGGCTAGACTTTTTGGGATAAACAAGTACTCCTTCCAACAGGTCTTATCGGTGAAGTGTTTCCCAAACGCAAGTCCTCTGCACACCACTGTCATGAGTTTTGCCACACCCATATGCCAGGTGAAAGGTGATTTCCTTAGTATTTCTTTAAATCTATAGCTACCACACAGAGAAGAACACTGACATCAATTGCCATATGGATAAGGGAGACATAAAAATACACATTTTTTAATTTTAAATGTATTTATATGTACTCCACCCAAAACCACCTCATATATTTTCACTCTGTGCTTTGGAAAACACCGTACGTGAGGTTCTTTCTGGGCACGTCATTGTGATTCAACGCCACCTTCCTCCTGTGCAATGTAGCCACGGCTCTATGAGGCGCCGACGTCTCAGGCAGGACTGCCATAGGTCCCTTTAATGAAGGTGCCCTAAGAGTAATGACTGATCTCATGGAACCATTAGCTTAGGCCAAAAATAAATAAATAAATATGGAGACCAGGAACATCTTACAATGCAGAGTACTAGTAAAGAAGTTTTTTTTGTTTTTTGTTTTTTAAATCAAACATAGCATGAAGTCTTATGAAGTGGTCTTTAAAACTGCCAAGAGACTTCGTTTTAGTCCAGAAGAACATCTGTTAGGCAAGTTGCTGCATGTTAAATGCCTCTATGATTACAGCCTTTGTGGTGGCTGAAAAAGAACATCTTTCAGGTTCATTTTATTGGAACAAATTAATGAATACCAAGAAAAACAATACAATCCACGACAGAGTCCCAAGTAGACTCTTTACAGGTTAAGTAATTTTAACTTGGATAAAAGGGCTTGTTCCAAACTGGCTAACTTAAGGGTATAATATTGGGAATAAGAATCAATCACATCAATAGAAAAGGCTCATGCTTAAACTAGGACTGAGAATTCCAAAATAATTAGATCGAGTTTCGTTTCTAGAGTATAAAGACAACAGGAAACACAGACTCCACACATAACCCAATGGATACAAAAGACACAAGCTGAAAAAGGATTCAAATGTTGTACAGATGATAAAGAGATTTTCAGAGCATTTAACAAATCCTCCATGTTATGGCATTTGTGCAGCAAAATAAAAATTCTGGGAGACAAACGGAATAAAAGAGTGGGTGACAACTCCTTCAACGTCCAGCTACTGGCACTTACCACTTGTGCTGCTTTTCAGAATGATACTGTAGTCAAGACTGGACTATGTGTGATACTGGGAAAAAATGCAACTGATGCAAAAATAATTTCTACTACAAACATGTGACACCGGCAGGAGTGACCTCAGTGCTATTTGCAGATGAGAACGCTACACGTGGGAGACAGACAGGTCCACACTCCCACATGGAGCTGGTTAATTCTGGGGCTGAAACTAGAGTCCATACGACCCCACTCCCAACCCAATGCTTCTGTCTCCCTTTTGGCTCCAACATGTGATCACTATACTCATGTCTGTTATTCTATAAACTTCCTTCAAGTAGAATTGGAGGTCAAGCTCAGATCTGCCTGAGGAGGCAGCTGGGAGCAGCTATCCGGTGTCCCCTGAGACTCTCCTCTCCACAGGGGGCCCTCTCCCACCTCCCTCGCAGCAGGAGAGGACGCTAAATAGGGGGTTGTAAGAGGGCTCCCCTGCACCAAAATACTAAACAGGGAGACTGCAGTCCCACAGCTGTAATCACAGAGAGTGGGAGCTGCCCGGTGAAGACCCAAGAGGCAGCATCAAGCAAATGAGACATGTAATCAGCCAAAATACAGATCTAAATCCAGGTCACGGAAGAGACTTTGGCACAATACCCCTAATTCACATGAAAATATCTGAGATCCAAACCTCAGAACGGCAAGGGAAAAAAACAATTCTGCTGACCAGACCCACCCACTGTTGGAAGCCTCCACACACTCCCTGAACCACCCACTGACCTCCAGGGATCTGGACATGGTAACTGAGAACCAGGACTGGCACTTCTGTTCTAGGAGCCAGGGCCTTTGTTTCTCTTCATCAGATTTTTAAATGTTATGATGACAGGACAGGCCGTTACTCTATTTGCTTTCCCATCCCCACTGCCCCACAAACCAAAACACTTACATTCTCTCAGTTTCGCTTTCCATACAATTTCCTCGGAATCCATTTCAACCAACAGTAATTTAAACTCCACTGGTTGCTCCAAATACACTTCAATATAACTTTTCAATTTTAAAAGTGAACCATCCACAAATTCAATTTCCTTTAAAAAAAAAAGTGATTTTTTTTAAATGGAAAAGTTGCATTAATTGACAACATAAATATCAAATAAGGAATGATGACAATTAGGAGGGTTAGTGCTTATTTGAATGCTCACTGACCTTTTGACCTTGGAAATGTCACTCCTTAATCACACACCCTCTTATTCGCTTGCTTCTGGCCCCTCCTACTCCAACCTCCTTTTCTGCTTCGTTGAGGCTTCCAGTCCTTGGCCCTGCTTTGCTATCGCTTAACTTTCCAGCCCTTTCCCGATTTCAATGTTTCATATTCCCAAATGAGAACATGTGCTCACCCTTTCATAGGTGTTTTTAAACTTCCTCACCATCTTTGGCCTAAATCATTCTACCACCTGGAACATATTCAACAACAATTTATAGAACTACGCAGGGTGTTTCATGCACTCATTGAACGCCACATTCCCCCAACAAATCCTTCTTTTTTTTTTCTTTGCCATTTTATGGATAAAGAATCTCAGAAAAGTGAATGAACTTGCCCAAGTCCACAACTACAAAGCAGTAGGACTGATTGTGAACCCACACCTTCCGACCCCCAAGTGTGAGGTCTGAACCACTACACACTGCCCCCTGCCTTCTGCCTCCCCTGCTCCTTTCCCGACTGGCNTTGGGCCAGTGAAGCAACGTCCTCCACAACTAGACTGAAGAACAAAAGGACAGCAACTTGTCTGTTCCCCTTCCCCCGATTCCCCAGCACTGTTCCCATCCCCCCAATCCCCAATAAAAATCTTTAAAAAAAAAAAAAAACCACTAAGGGAACTCTACAGCATTTTGAAGGAGCATTATCAAAGAAAACAATCTAAGTAATTACATGAAATGTGTGACGTTAGTTATGCTGTTTTGTGTTTTCCCTACTTGGGGTTACTTTTATACAGAAATTTAAATGACTGGTGATATTATGTCTTCTGTATACAAAATTACTTACAAAAACTGTCCCCTGGAAAGAAGTCTGGGGGTCACTTTTTCATTGTGTTTCTGGAGAAAAAGTACATAGATAAGTTAGGTAATATAAAATTAAATGTTTTCTTAAATAAAGCATTTTAGAACATCCTATTTTATAATTAAAAGATACTTACATTTTCAGCTTTACAGTGTTCACAGTGAGGTTGAATTTTAATAAATTCTAAATGACAGAAACAAAGATTTACTTATATGAATGTGCTTGGCAGTTTCAAATAAAATTTATAAAATACGTATGATTATAAAATTCAAAGGTATATGCCCCTCAGCACTAATGATATTTAAAAGAATATTTTGGAAAACGTTTAAGTTCATACCTGAATTCAAATGATCTGTGGGCAAGACTTTATCCTCCCATTCTTCAGCTGTAAAAGGTATTGTCACATATGTATTGACACATGTCAATCACAGGGTAAATCACCTACTACTTAAAACACACACCTTCAGCTTCACAAATAACAGAAACTTGAAACATACAGAGGGTGCCAAAAATATGTGTACACATTTTAAGAAAGAAAAACTGTATTAAAATTGTAATACTCAATATATATCAATAACAAAAGATGAATACAAGTCACGTTTGACTTCCGCAATTACAAGAGGTGCTCAAGGTGGTTATCATCAGCGTCCAGACATTTCTGATTACGGCAAACTGCTGCTTGAGCAACGCTGACCAAAGTGTCCACTTGTATACATTTTTTTTTGGCACTCCGGTATATTTAAACATCTCCATGAGTCGATTCAATGGCACATGACACATTACCACGTTGGTGAATCCCACTGTAAGTCTGATGCATGAAATAAAGTTTGAATGTGACTCAAGTTTCAATGCACCCCATTTTGGTACATAAGTCTGTATCTGATCTCTTCTTCATCCTTCATCACTACTCTCATCATCCTTCACCCTGATCCTCAGGTCCTCCTCTAACAGCACAGCGTGAGGAGAACAGTATGAATGAGGGGAAACAAGAGGGCAGGCACATTGCCTCAGTCTTACCCTGCGTGGCAGCTTCCTCGGGGGAAGGCTCTCCTAGCTCCCCATCTGTGAAGACAAGAAGGGCTTTTAGGGCACAGGTGATCACAAACAATCTCTTCATTTATTACTCACCTAGGCCAGTGTCAACTGGAGAGCTGCAGCCCCCACTGAAGAGTCATTCATGGTGACCAGGAGTCAGGGACTAAGCTGGAGTCATTATCCCCAAGATAACGCTTGACAGGCATTAGCCCTCCAGGTTATCATACAGCTAGAGAGGGAGTAGCTTGGAAGTGAGGAAAGGAGTAACATCTGATTTGAGGCATAAACTGGAATCAGATTTTAGGCGTGGTCTGTAAGAGTCCCTGATTTAGCGTGCAGACTCCTCCCACATGGCTCACGGCCCAGTGTGGTCCAGCTCCCCAGCGCCTGTCAGCCTCCCCGCACTTACTGCCCGCTGATCACTCCTTGCCATTTCTCCACACCAAAGCACACTCCTCCCTTGGGGCCTCTGCACGTTTGTTCTCCTCCCACCAATATTCATGTTACTGATTCCCTCACAGCCTTGAGGGGCTCTGCTCAAGTGCTGCCTTCGCTGACAGGCTTTCTTCTCCCCTGAAACAGGGCCCGCTTGATGCACTCACTCTTTGCTCTTCATTTTCCTCCAGGGCATGCCCTCCTCCCCTACCTGGCACACTATACAGTTAGCATTTCTGCTTACTGACTCCCCACTAGAATAGAAGCTTCATGCGGACTGTATCTCTAGGGTCTGGTAAGTGCTCAATGACTAGTTTCTGAATGACCAGAATTCCGTAATACAAACGCGTACTAGTACTAGGAGAGGGAACAGCAATGAATTTTCCTATTATCTACACTGGCTGCTAGTTGCATAAGCTTGGCTCTCTAGTTATGTTACTAAGTCCCTCCGTGCCCCACTTTCCCCATCTGTTACATAGGGGTTAAAACAACACCATCCCCACAAAGTCAGGAAAATTAATTATAGAGATTGTGTCTGGCACTTGCAAGTGCTCAGTGTGTTACCTAACCATTAATAACAATTATTTTGCTATGGTGATGGGTAGGAATCATTAAAATATTCAAGAACTGTAAAGCAGACAACAACTCTGTCACTTGGGGTCAGACTAAATGTGTCAAATGCACGGTCTTACGTTTTAAAGGTCTGAACAACCTTTTGGAGGGTCGCCCTGGGGTGAAGACAGGCACTCCTCAACACCTGTGGAAGGTCCTAGACCAGAGGTGCAGACACTCCCCCAGGCCAGTGCTCCAGCCCTAGCCACACAAGCTGCCTGATCTTTCAGGCTATCAGTGCAGTGTCCAAGGACCAGCGTTACAAGAGAGAACCAGCTTCCCAAAATGGCATTTTTTAAGATGAAACGGCAAAAGGAGACTAAGAGTATTCAGAACCCTTGACTCAGAATACTACAGATGAAAAGGTTCTGAAATACTGACACAAGTCCTGTACCCCACAACCCTCCAATCGTACTTCCTCTGCTGCTGTCCTCTAAAAGACCATTAAATTCTAAATTATTTCATGGTTGCACATCTACATTGTATTGCATCCATATCCCATGGTTTTCTATCTTGCTGTTTGCCTTGCGAACACAGAGAAAGGGAACACAGAGAAAGGGAACGAGATTAGCAGCGGTTCTCCTGTGGGTCGCGACCCCTTTCACAGGGGTCGCCTAAGACCATCAGAAAACACATATTTTCGATGGTCTCAGGAACCGAGACACCGCTCCTCTATCCGTCTCCAGGCGGGTCCGCCCACATGCAGATACACCCACATACGAGTACCCGGCTTCAAGACAAAATTTCATTTATTTGTAATTAGAAATAAATATTTCACAATATATAANTGACTCATAGGAAGGTCAAATATCAACATTAACAGGAGTTTGGAAGAAGTTGATTCTTCCAACCGTCATGGATGACTTTGAGGGGTTCAAGACTTCAGTGCAGAAAGTAACTGGAGGAGATGTGGGGAAAACAGCAAGAGAACTAGCACTGAAAGTAATCTAAAGATGTGACTGAATTGCTACAATCTCGAGATAAAACTTAAACAGATGAGGAGTTGTTTCTTATGGATGAGCTAAAAAAGTGATTTCTTGAGATGGAATCTACTGGAGAAGATGCTGTGAAGATTGTTGAAATGACAAAAAAGGATTTAGGATATTGCATAAGCTTAGTTGATAAAAAAGTGGCAGGGTTTGAGAGGATTGTCTCCAATTTTGAGTAAGTTCCACTGTGGGTAAAATGCTATCAAACAGCACTGCATGCTACAGAGAAACTGTTCGTGAAAGGAAGAATCAATCAATGCGGTGAATTTCATTGTCTTATTTTAAGAAATTGCCACAGCCGCCCCACCCTTCAGCAACCACCACCCTAATCAGTCAGCGCCATCAACAATGAGGCAAGACCTTCCACAGGCAAAAAGGTTATGACTCGTTCGCTGAATGCTCAGATGATGGTCAGCATTTTTTAGCAAGAAAGTATTTTTTAATTACAGTATGCATATATATATATTGTTTTTTTAGACATAATGCTAGTGCACACTTAGCAGACAACAGAATAGTGTAAACATAACTTTTATATGCACTGGGGAACCAAAAAATGTGTGGCTCCCTTTATTGCGATATTCGCTTTATGGTGGAACAGAACCCGCAGCGTCTCCAAGGTCTGCCTATGTATCACTGAAGTACACTGGGTGCTACCATCATTAATCAATGGTCTTAACTGGTCCCTCTCCTTTCTCATTCCAAGTCACTAGCATTATCCTCACAACCTTCAAAGGGTCACCAGGGCCTTTAAAGCCGAGATAACATTTCCCCTGGCCCCACTCCTCCCAGAGCCCTCCTATTTCCTGTTTCCCAGAAGCCATCTCAGTGCCTTGAGCCCAGCTACACATTCCCATAACCTCACCTAGGCACTGCAGTTCCTTCGTCCAGGAGAGGTCATCTCTTCCGGAGATGCTTTCACCCTCCAAACCCAAAACAAATGACACCACATGGAAAGCCTTCCTGAAAACCCATGGCACTTTGTACCCATTTCATTGGAAACAACACATTATATTAAAATTATTTCTTTACAGGACTCTAGTATTTCTCCCTCTATGCTGGCATCTTTGGAGGGAAAAGATCGTGACTTACTCGTTTTTTATTTCTTAGGCTATTATCCCAGGCTGGCTTGTAATAGGCACTTTTGGTAAATGTCAGTTAATAAATCATTAATAGTATAAAACTAATAAGAACACCTTAGATTTACATAGAGTTTTACAAACTTCAGAGTGCCCCAAACCACTACCTTATACTATCCTTAGAGCAATCTTGGGAGATTATCCCCATTTTGAAGGCCCCAAATTTGGTTAAGAGAGAGCACACAATTAGACTATTCGAAATCCACCAGCCACCAACATCTTTGTATGAAAGAATTCTTGCAACCATCTCAGTCTCTTCCTGGGCACACTCACCCATTCAGTACGTACTGTTCCCTCTCCTAGTGGTTCTTAACCTTGGCAGCACATTACAGTCACCTAGGAGCTTTAACAAGCCCAATGCCCTTGCCATTCCCAGAACAATTAAGTAAGTATCTTCTAGAGAGGAGGCCCTGGCTACAGACTTCTTTAAAGTGCCTCAGGGAATTCCATTATGCAGCAAAGGTCAACAACACTGTCCTAAGCAAACCCTTCAAATCGATTCCCACATCCCAGACAAGGCTGCTGTTTGCTTCTTGTGCCTGCTTTGCACAGGAGTTTCCTCAGCTGCATTGTTGTAAGGCTCACATGGCAGTAGGTTGGAAGAGGCCCTTTGAAAGGGAACAGGTCCGTCTGCATGCAAAAGCTAAGGAAGGCTGACCACCCTGATAGCTTCTATGTAGGGCATTAAGGCCCTAATAATGTAATACAATAATGAACACGGACCACTACAATTAGCTCTCTCCTGCTTCACATTTTAATATAATGGAATGAAAACATGTTTTCAACTTTTCATATGCTATAAAAAAAAA